CTGGACTTGCTCAAGGAGCTCTATGTGGCATTTGAAGCCATAAGCCTACAATGATCCAGTCTGGGCTATAGTGGACTGCACACTGGGACAGCAATACGGCTTAAAAATCAGGCCTTTCAGGTATTTTTGAAGCACCTCAGGGACTTTGCTGTATGCAAAGTCTGGGCTTGGAGTGTAACACAGAGCGAGGTGCCTAATGAAGGCATTTGCAGCATATCATGTGGAAGTCATATTCCTGAACTAGGATGTTCTGGTTCCAGGTGCCCTCCTGGACTAAGCCATCCTTTTGGGCATGAATAAATACCTAGGTGTTTATACTTGAGGAGACAATGCCTCCCTTTTCTATAGCAGACATTAATATCCCATGGGAACTTGGTTCCCACCTGAGGCTGAAACCCATTTCTCAAGAAAGTGCCTACTCGATGACATTTCCATCTCTCCTCTGAAACTTGTGTATAAAGTGATACTTGATGTGAGGGTGACAAAGATAAAGGTGACAACTCCTTGAGACTGAGGAGGGCCTACAGCTAGAGCCTCTTAGATGGGAAGTCCAACCACAGATGAGAGGAGCTGGGAAGGCTGAATGCAAGAGTGTGCCTTGTTAACAAACCGGTTGAAGTGAAGATTAATATATGGAGTTAATTCATGTTTATTCTCCATTTCAGAATTGTGTGGAAGGTTCTTTGCTTTCATTATGAAGCATGATTAGAGTTGGTACTTGGTATGACTGTTTTTGATTTTAACCATTTAAGGACAAGCCAAAACTTAGTTGCAAAAGAAGAAGCAACCACCTTCCAAGTCATCCCCAACTGAGAGAAACAGTAATGACATCTTTAAGGATCTAGGTGCATGCTGGGGTTCCCTTATGAATTCATTTGGCATAACCTGAGTCCGAGATCAGTTAATCTGACTGGAGGTATTGCAGTGTCCAGTTTGATAGAGATTATAAATTCTGAGCCTATTACAGTGTTTAACCTTTTGGCCTTGCATTCACAAAGCCTCCATTTGATTCATATGTTAAATGAAAATCAAATCAGGCCGGATTCTTTCATTAACATTATTAGTTTTCTTTTTTTATATGTGGTCAATTGAAGAGAAATCATGTTTGTTCATGCAGCTGTAAATTCCACCTTATTTTTCAGCTTTGTTTTGCTTTTGCTGGAACACATTATTTTGGAGATGCTACCTTGTCAGCTGCTTAGATTGAAATCCTCTTCATCCACAGAAATGGTAAAGCAAAAGTAATCAAGAGGAAAGGGGAGGATTTTGCCTTTCCTGGCATGCACTGTCCACCTGAATCCTGACCTGGAAAGACTTTCTCGACTTGCAACATTGGTTAGGCAGAGCCAGGTCAAACAGTTTCAGCACATTTGAACTCTCACTCCCAAAGCATGAGGACAAAATAATGAGCCCTGTCCTATCAGTAAAGGTATCTCATGACTCCACTGCCCTCACCACCACAGCTGACACACCCCAGAAACATATGGACAGGGAAGAAAAAATATCCAGACCATAGCTGAGGAAGGGGCAAGACAGAGCCTGTAAGGTCGGCAATGTGGACTTGGTGCTCAGCAGTGACCCTGCCATGGGGAAAACCTCAGCACTGGGAACCCGCTGCCTACGCTGGCTCTCATGTTCAGCTCTCTGATTGTGCTGGAACTGTTTACTCCTTGTCAGTTAGTCGCAATAAACATTTTCTTTTTCTGGGAATAAGCCTAAGAAATACCTGATTGTAAGCAGTTGGTGGTATCTCATTCAGCATACTTTAATTGTTATTCCTGCACATTTTATTTAAAATGTCATCAACCATCATTCAGCTGCAGGGGTCAACATTTGGAGAATGAGACAGAAAAATGAGCATTTCCTTATGTACCTTTACCAGTTTGTCTGTAAAAGATGTTTTTCCTCCTCTTGGAGTTAACATGTAAAATCCTTTGCTTCAAAAATATTTTTGGTAAGCATGGAATGTAGAATCTGTATAAACTGGACCTAAAGTAGACCAGGGGATGTAAAATAGCAGAAAGACTATTTTGCCTGCAAGGCACTATTTGAAGAGCTGGTGTCTGGATTGTAATTCATAAATATATATATATATATTTCACAATGAAATCAGTAATTTTTAATATTGAGGGGTTTCTGGGTAAAAAGTAAGCAGGCTGTCACTTTCATATTAGACTTGCAGTACAACTAACAACAAAATGAAGATAGCAGGGAAAAAAACTTTAATCTACTGATAACAAACTATCTATATATTTTATTAATGAGCAAGAATAATATAATATTTTTATTATTTATTTATTAATTTTTTAAAGTCTCATTTTACTAGACTGGTATCAGCTTGACTTCTTTATGATAGTAAGTCAGTGTTAATAATGATAGACCTCATAGCTGCTTTCCAGTATCTGAAGGGGGCCTACAGGAAAGCTGGGCAGGAACTTTTTTCAAGGGCTTGCAGTGAGAGGACAAGGGGTAATGGATCAAAACTGGAAGAGGGGAGAGTTAAGTTAGACATTAGGAATAAATTCTTTAGTGTGAGGGTGATGAGACACTGGCCCAGGTTGCCCAGAGCAGCTGTAGCTGCCCCATCCCTGGAAGTGTTCAAGTCCAGGTTGGATGGGGCTTGGAGCAACCTGGGCTGGTGGGAGGCATCCAAGTGCTTTTCAGAGCTTTTCCCTGTAAAAGCAAGATCAGAGTCCAAAATCAAAATGCAAATGCTTTACTCATAGTGGTAACACAAACGGGAGAGAGAAAAAGAGGTTATTTTCTGAGCTTTGTCTACAAATGCCAGCCTTACTCAGGTGCATGGAAAAAGCTATAGAAACAGGATCATCCAGGAAAAGAGTAAAAGCAAGTGGAAAACGTTTATGTGCTGTTTTGGAAACTGCTTACACAGGGGAGGAAAAAAATAAGGGTTTTCAGTGTAGCCAAAGCCCATTTCCTGTGGGAAATCCCCTGTGCCAGTGGAGTCCCCCTTGGCTGGAGCTGTGCAGAGGACACAGGGGCAAGGCAGGAGAAGCCGTCCTTGTCCACACCAAGGCTCCAGTCAGCACACGGACCTGTGAATTGTGGCAGCTGGTGGCTCATGACACCACTTCAGTGGTTGTTCTCTGTGGCCTACATGGGCTTTCGTTACTCCGGCCACTTTGTTGGTGAAAACCATCACTGCATGGTTCTGTGAGGAGTGAGGGCTGAGCACACAGCTCACCTCTGTTCAGGTGTTTCTGAGGGTGCTCGGCAAAGGTGGAGGGCACACATAGTGGGGCCGAGGGGAGCAGGTCACGGCGACGGGAGAGGGGATGAGGTGATGGGAGCCGGATGAGGGGATGGGAGCGGGGCTGAAGTGATGGGAATGGGGCTGAAGTGATGGGAGCGGGTCTGAGGTGATGGGAGCCGGATGAGGGGATGGGAGTGGGTCTGAGGCAATGGGAATGGGGCTGAGGTGATGGGAGAGAGATGAGGGAATGGGAGCGGGTCTGAGGTGATGGGAATGGGCTTGAGGTGATGGGAATGGGGCTGAGGCGATGGGAGCGGGTCTGAGGCGATGGGAATGGGGCTGAGGTGATGGGAATGGGATTGAGGTGATGGGAGGGGGATGAGGGAATGGGAGCGGGTCTGAGGCGATGGGAATGGGGGCTGAGGTGATGGGAATGGGGCTGAGGCGATGGGAACAGGCTGAAGTGATGGGAGCGGGATGAGGGAATGGGAGCAGGCTGAGGTGATGGAGTGGGGCTGAGGCCATGGGAATGGGATTGAGGTGATGGGAGCAGGCTGAGGCCATGGGAGCAGGTTGAGGCAATGGGAGCGGGCTGAGGAATGGGCAGGGCCCAGCTGCTGCTCAGCAGGCGATACCCGCAGCAGGCAGGAGCGGGCAGACCCGCCTGGCAGGGCCGTGCCGTGACACGCAGGCCGCGGGAAGGCCTGTGATCGCGGGGTGACTCTGGCACACGCAGCGGGAACGACTCCGGCCCTGCCCTGTTGCGCAGCCCTCCGCGAGCACGCCTCCTACCCTGGGGCTCCGCAACAGCGACGTGACAACCCTCCTTTCGGGCGGACACCCGTGGGCGGCGGGAGTATCGCTTGGATGGGAAGGGAAGAAGAAACCGCTCAATAGGGCTGCAGCCCGCGGGG